TAGGGCACTCATCTCCTACCCTACTGAGTGATTAAAGCAGACCCGGACATTTGCTGATCTATGTGAAGGAAGGAACAGGGGCTCTCTGAACAGCCACCGTCCCTGGTCCCAACACTGGCATGAAAGTGTCTCTAAGGATCTCAGTTCCCAGCAGGACACAACAGGCAGGACGGCCAGTGTGAGGGGCTGGGAGGGCGGGGGCTGCGAAAGGCACCCTTCTCATTGGCCTCATTCGCTCCCCTCTCTCCATTCTGAAAAAGCACAAAAATTATTCCATAGTGACTTTATAATGCCGATAATTATTTTGTTCTCTCTGTAGTCCAAATCAGAGATGGACAATTTTTTAAAAATGGGCTAATAAATATTTTATGCTTATATTCTAGGGTATAATAAAAGTATAATTTAGCCTATGTAACAAAATTTTCAGAAAAAAACTCCAACAACCTGGGATAATAGTATTTACCTTAAGAATTGTTGTTAGGATTATATATATGTATGTATGTTAGAATTATGCATCTCTCTCTCTATAAATGGAGTCCTCACACAGTGCTGGCGTGTGTAGTTGCCAGGAGAAGGCTGGTTGTTATTATTCCTGGCTGGGCTTCAGTTTGGAGTCCTCCCTCCTTGTCCTCAATACACCTAGTGCGCCATTTAATTGGTTGCAAATCAGGCACCATCTTATCACACCTCCTGCCTTATTACTTATTGGCTAAATTTTTCTGCTTTTCATGTATTTATATCTCATTCCCCTAAGTAGATATTAAGCTCTGTAAGAGACTAATCTACTTTTCTTTTACTACTATCTATTATTACTTTTGCACAGAGTATCGAGAGTACTTACCCACTGTCTTGTTGAATGGATTAAATGAGATGATCATATCAATGTTTTGGCCAGTGTGTAGCATATAGTGCTCAATAAGATCTAACTAGTGTTATTATAAAATATATATATTTGCTGATTATTTGATAAAGACATGAAATGTGCTCCTGAAAATTCATGTGCAGATTGACTTCTTGTGAGTTTTAAACACACCACGGAATATACTTGTTTTCTTTACAACATGATACTGTGTTTTGTAAATCAATCAGCCTCAGCATATTGCTTGCACCGATATACATGCTTGTATTGAAATTGCTCACTCTGAAACGCTCTTGCTTATTAAAAGAAATCAAATGAATAATAAATATTAGAAATGAATCTCTGAATAACAGAAACGTATTTCTCCTCAACTATTACAATTTTAGTAACATTTGTTTCTTTTAATCTCCTTCTAAAATTCATTTTCATTGTTTTAATTAAGTCTTTAGACAATCCTAAGTCATGAGATTTTCACTTGGACAAGTTAAATAAGGTAAAATTCATTCAACAATGTAATACAACATTTACAATTTTGAGAGTAAAGATCTTCTGTTAAGCTCAAATTATTATTAATTTTAGTAACAATTAAAAATAATAAATTTAGCTCCAAGTTTAAAGTTGTAGAACTGTGTAGAGAAATTGATTCCTGTTAGCATAAGTGTGGTACATGGTGCCAAATGAACCAGATTAAAAAATTTAAAATTTAGTCACTCCAGTTACTGGAGCTGTGTAGATATGAATGGAACTTGAGTTTTAATCACTTCTATCAAAATATTTTTTTAGTTTAGTATTATTTGAAGATAATGCCAGTTAGATGGCCAAATCACTCTCCATATAATTTTTATTTTTAATATCTTTGAAGCTAAATTGGATTTTTACTTTGCTTTGTTTTGAACTACTACTGTTTTTTTTTTTTTAAAGATTGGCACTTGAGATAACATCTGTTGCCAACCTTCTGTTTTTTCTTCTTCTTCTCCCCAAAGCCCCCCAGTACATAGTTGTATATTCTAGTTGTAGGTCCTTCTGCTTGTGCTATGTGGGACGCCACCTCAGCATGGCCTGATGAGCAGTGCCATGTCTGCACCCGGGATCCGAACCAGTGAAACCCTGGGCCGCAGAAGCAGAGCGTGCAAACTTAACCACTCGGTCACAGGCCCAGCCCCAAACTACTGCTGTTTAACACTTACTAAGTAAGCATTAACTAGGTGTCAGAAACTGTCCTCATTGTTCAACATGGGTTAACTTATTTAATCTTCATAAGACTCCTTTGGGATGGTATTATTACTCCCATTTTTTGATAAGGAAATGAAGGCTTAGGGAAAGAGCAGATATCATACCATGGATGTTAAGGGGAAAAAATGTAGGAAAATAGATAAAAGTCATTGAAACATTAACTAATTAGATTTCTAACACGTTTCCTTGCAATTCAGGGTCACTATCCAAAAGTTCACACCTCAGCTTCCCCAAACCTCACATCCTGGTGCTATTAACATGGTAATCACTCCATACTTACTTGTTGGGCAAAAAAATTATCAGTTAGTATGTGCTAATAATGAAAATATCACCCCATTTCTTGCTGAGATAAAGCCTTTTAACTAGTGAATAAGACATTCATCAAACATTTGTGAGACTTAGATAGAGGACCAGCTGTAGACTTACTAGCTCTGGGACGTTTGCAAGTCATTTAATTTCTCTTGGCCTTCATTTCCTTCTTTGTAAAACATGGATGAAAACACTTCACAGCGTTGTAATGAGAATGAATTATATAATGTGCATGAATGTGCTCTCTTAGGTGCCAGCACAATCTCTAGCATAGAGGAGGCATTGAACAGTTTTATTAAATGGTTAAAAGATAAGCCATAAATAACAATCTGAATAGGTCCGTATCTATGAAAGAAATTGAGTCAATAAGTAATAACCTTCCAAAACAGAAAGCACCAGGCCCAGATGGGTTCACTGGCGAATTCTACCAAACATTAAGGAAGAAATTATACCAATTCTCTACAGTCTCTTCCAGAAGACAGAAGCACAGGACATACTTCCTAACTCATTTTATAAGGGCAGCATCATCCTAACATGAAAATCAGACAAAGGCATTAAGAGAAAAGAAAACTACAGAGCAATATTTCTCATGAACATAGATGTAAAAATCCAAACAAAATATTAGCAAATTGAATCTGACAATATATAAAAAGAATTATCCACCATCTCTATCAAGTGAGATTTATCTCAGGTATGCAAGGCTGGTTTAACATTCAGTAATCAGTTAATGTAATCCATCACATCAATAGGCTAAAAGTGAAAAACCACACGATCATATCAAAACATGTGGAAGAATCATTTGACAAAATCCAACACCCATTCATGACAAAAACACTCAGTAAATTAGGAATACAGGGAATTTCCTCAACTTCATAAAGAATAGCTACAAAAAATCTACAGCTAACCTAATGCCTAGTGGTAACAAACTAGAAGCTTTCCCACTAAGATTAGGAACAAGTTAAGGACATCCACTGTGACCACTGCTTTTGAATATTGCACTGAAGTCTTAGCTAACGCAATAAGACAAGTAATGGAAATGAAATGTATACTGACTGGGAAGCAAGGAATAAGATTGTCTTTGTTTGCAGATGACGTGATCATCTATGTAGAAAATCTGAAAGAATTGACAAAAACACTCCTGGAATTAATAAGCAGTTATAGCAAGGTTGCAGGATGCAAGGTTAATATATAAAAGTTAACTGCTTTTCTATGTACCAGCAATGAACAAATGAAATTTGAAATTACAAACAATTATCATTTAAATTATCATCCCTAAAAATGAAATACTTAGGTATTAATCTAACAAAATATGTACAAGATCTATATGAGGAAAGCTACAAAACTGTAATGAAAGATATCAAAGAAGAAATAAATAAATGGAGAGATGTTCAATGTTCATGGATAGACTCAATATTGTCAAGGTCTCAGTTCTTCCCAACTTGATCTATAGAGTCAATGCAATTCCAATCCAAATCCCAGTGAGTTGTTTTGTGGATTTCAACAAACTGACTCTAAAGTTTATATGGAGAAGCCAAAGACGCAGAACGGCCAACATGATATTGAAGGAGAAGAGCAAAGTGAAGGACTGACACTGATCAACTTCAAAACTTACTGTAAAGCTCCCTGATGGCCACTGTGATCAAGACAGTGTTGTGTTAGTGAAAGAGCAGACAAACAGGTCAGTGGAGCAGAACAGAGAGGGGCCCACATAAATATAATCAATGATCTTTGACAAAGGAGCAAAGGCAGTACAATGGAGCAAACGTAGTCTTTTCAACAATGGTGCTGTAACAACCGGGCAGCCACATAGAAAAAAAAAAGAATCTAGACACAGACCTTGCACCCTTCAAAATTAACTCAAAATGGATCATGGACCTAAATGTAAAATACAAAACCATAAAATTCCTAGAAGATAATATAGGAGAAAGCCTAGATGACCTTGGGTATGGTGATGACTTTTTAAATATAACACCAAATGCATGATCCATGAAATAAATAACTGACAATCTGAACTTCATTGAAATTAAAAACCTCTGCTCTGCAAAAGACAATGTCAAGACAATGAGAAGACAAGCCACAGACTGGGAGAAAATATTTACAAAAGTCACATCTGATAAAGGAGTGTTATCCAAAATACCTAAAGGACTCTTAAAAACTCAACAATAAGAAACAAATAATCCAATCAAAAAATGGACAAAAGACCTGAACAGACACCAAAAAAGATACAGAGAATGCAAGTAAGCATGTGAAAAGATGTTCAGCATTATATGTCATTAGGGAAAGTTAAAACAATGAGATACCAGTACACACCTACCTGAATGGCCAAAATTCAAAGCACAGCCAACTCTGAATGCTGGTGAGGGCGTACAGCAACAGGAACTGTCATACAATGCTGGTGGGAATGCAAAATGGTGCAGCCCCTTTGGAAGACAGTTTGGTAGTTTTTTACAAAAGTAAATACACTCTTAACATATGATTCAGCAATCACGCTCCTTGGTGTTTACTCAAATGAATTCAAAACTTCTGTCCACACAAAACCCTGCATACTGATGTTTATAGCCGCTTTATTCGTAACTGTGAAGACTTGGAAGCAACCAAGATGTCCTTCAGCGGGTGAGTGAATATATAAACAGTGGTCCATCCAGACAATGGAATATCACACAGCACTAAAGAAATGAACTACCAAGCTGTGAAAAGACAGAGAAAAGTTAAATGCATAGTGCATATTACTAAGTGAAGGAAGCCAATCTGAAAAGGCTCCGCACTATATGATTCCAATTTTAACGACGTTCTGGAAAAGGCAAAACTATGGAGACTGTAAAAAGATCAGTGGTTGCCAGAGGTTAAGGGGTAGGGAGGGATGGATAGGCAGGGCACAGAAGATTTTTAGAGCAGTGAAGCTCCTGTATGATACTGTAATGGTGGATACATGTTATTACACATTTGTCCCAACCCATAGAACGTACAAGACCAAGCGTAAGCCCTAATGTAGACTATGGACTTTGGGAAATAATGAGTGTCAATGTAGGTGCGTTGACTGTAACAAACGTACCACTGCAGTTGGGGATGTTGACAGTGGAAGAGGTTGCGTCTGTGTGGGGAAGGGGGTACATGGGAACTCTCTGTACCTTTTGTCCAATTTTGCTGCAAACCTGAAGCTGCTCTAAAAAATAAAGTTTATTTTAAAAGAAAGATACATTACTGTTTAAAGATTAATTCTCACCATTACACGCAGTGCAGTGGTTAATGTTGCAGGCTCTTCAATCAGACCGTCAGGGTTTAAATCCCAATAACACTTTCCCTCTGCCTCAATTTCTTCGTTTCTGAAATGGGGATAATAAGAATTCCTGTCTCAGGGCTTTTGAGAGAAGCAAATGAGATTTGATTGGCTTAGAGCAGTGCACGTCTTATAGTAAGTTTCAGTTCAATAAATCTTGGCTATTATTTCTTTGACAAATTTATAAGTATTTTTATCGATAATATCTTATGGAATTATTCCAGCCTCCCAGCGAGGTTGGAATGGCTGTTCTCACCCTTCAGATGAAGAAACTGCAGCCCAGAGGGACTCCCCGGTTGCCTGAGGTCTCAAAGCGCTGGCTCTGTCCTCCAAAGGCTGCGCTCGCCACTGTCTCCACCTCTCAACAGCCTCGCAGCCCCCGTGACAGCCTGCTTTCTTCATTGCTTTTGGTCTGACCTTCTCCCCTTTGCAGATCCCTAGTGCAACACAGGCGAGAGGGCATGGACAAGACAGTGAGTCCGAGGAGGAGCGCGGAGACCTATTCCTATGACAGATACCACCCCGTGGGGGAGGTGAGCAGGACACCTGGGGGCCGGGGGCTGGTGGTGTCACACCTACTTTAGGATGGGTGATCCAGTTCACTGTTGCTGCCTGTGGACGGGGCGGGGGCTCGAAATGTGAGGCTGAGATCTGCATGTGCACTGAGTTCAGCGGATTCCCAAACATCACCCACCGATGACCACCGTTGAAGCTACAACCCTGGTGATATGCAGTAAAAAAGTAAATTAACAACAAGAATGAAACGGGGGAAAAGAACGTCCCAACCAGCTTTGCTCGTGGGAACATGGATCAGAATTAACCCATACTCTTGTTCATCAGGTCCATGGCCAGTGTGAGCAGGGCAGGGCCAGTGCATATGGGGGTGTGGGACACAGAGTGGAAAAGCCTTCTCACTGAATTGTATTGGGCTGAAAATGTGGTATTTCCTGTGGGGTGTGAGGGACACAGGCAGCAGTTCTCAAGAGGGGAAAACTTTTTTTCAAAGAAGTATTTGTGTTGCTGCTAAGATAAGCGCGGTGGATTTTGAAACTGGATACGGTAAAAAATTAGTTACTACATATGCATATGTGTGGGGTGTGTGAATAACATTATGCAAAACTTTTTTGGAGTATAAATTCCTAAAAATAGAATTACTGGTTAAAGGATATGCACATCTAAATTTTTTATATAAGTGCACAAGTCACCCTCCAAACAAGCTTTACCATTTCTTCTCTCAGTATTGGGAAATATATTAATATTTTCCAGAACTTTTTTCAGAGTACAAGAAAAAAATTACATTTTCCCCTGTAACAATCACTCAAAAGCACTGAAAATTCTACGATTTTGCACAAGGCCCAGTAAGGCCCATGGAAAACTACTGCCCTGCTATCAGAGACAGGTCACACTTGGCTTGGCCACTTGCTCTGTGACCTTGACCAAGACATTTGTCCTCATTTGGCCTCAGTTTCCTCAGACGTGAAGCAGGGAGAGCAGTAGCCTTCTCGCAGCTTTGTCTCGGGGGTAAATGAGATAAACCACACGACAGCTCACTGAACAGCAGATAAACATTGCTGCTGCTGCTGCCCCTCGCTGCTGTGTGCAGCTCCCCAGGATGTGAGGCGTCTGCACCCTGCCCAGTGCCATCAAGAATCACACACGGGCCCCGGGGGACGACTTCTCAGTCTCCTCCCCACTTAAGCACTGTTAGTTATAATCATGCCTTTTATCTGTGGAGGTTCTATGACAAGATGAATGTCAATTGAGATACGAATATTTTCAAATAGAATATTTGTAATCGCAAATTAACTATTATTATTTACCATTATTCTTGTCAGTCAGATATTTCAACTCTAGAAATTGAGTGCGGCAGTGTCATATCACATGCCGACGACTGTCTTAATATGCCCTATCTTTGTGACTTCCCTGTTCACTCTCCCTTATAGAGCCCCAAGGTGTTGACTTATGGGAGAAGGTCTCAGGCCCTTCCTTTCTAAGCATGGTGTACGGCTTGTAATTAAATCAGCATCTACTCAGGTCTACTCAGGCGGACCAAAATGATTAACTTGGCTTGATTTAGAAACTTCTGTTGTGTTCTGTGAAGGGCATCCCCAGGTCTTCTCCAATTTTGGATCCACAGACATCAGCAAAGGAAATTGTTGGGATCCACAAAGACTGAAGAAGCTCCCACAAAAGAAGGCTGACCTGAAGCTTCCGGCGCAATGGAGCACCACCTGGCAGCCTGGAAGTTGGCGCCATCTGAAGGATGTGTTGTTATACAGTGTTTCCGAAGTGTTATCAGTGGACTATCGAAATTGTTAATTTGCAATAACTTATTTGTAAAGTTCAACAGTGTCCTAAGACTGGGTGACAGGGTAGATCTCTAATGAAAATGGGAGGAGGTGGGTAATGATTCTTCGGTTTACTCTTCTGGTTTGTTTAGCACACAGCTGTTGCAACCTAGAGCAGAGTTTGGAGTTCAGTATCTTCATGAAAGAAGCGGTCATCTTAATTCGAGGCAGCAAACGGTCTTCTCATTGATACCCTCAGTCCTCCGGCTGCTGCAGATCTACCAGTGGATGAGCCAGATAAGAGAGAAGTGCACGGAGGTGGTGACTCAGCACTTCCTGGGGACGACCGATGAGGCCCGGCCCGGATTATCTGCAGGTGAGTGAGAGGGCTGGGAATTACCTCACTGGGGGTGAGAGGTCTCCCTGCCCCAAGCCAGGGACATTTGTTTACTATTCAGGGACCCTATAGTCAGAAATGGGGACAAGGTTAACAGAGGCAGTGCAGGGGCCAGCCCGGTGGTGTAGGCAGCCCAGGGTTCGCAGGCCTGGATCCCAGGCACAGACCTACACACCACTTATCAAGCCGTGCTGTGGCAACATCCCACGTACAAAATAGAGGAAGACGGGTGTAGATGTGAGCTCAGGGCTAACCCCTTGCATTTAGTAGACAAATTCGTCTTTAAAAGGTTTCTGACGCATATCACTCCACAAACAAGGGCCCCTGTTTCTAGAGAGTATTCGCTCCTCCGCCTCCCCCATGGTGACCCACAGCCCCTTCGTGAGACCCCTTTGTCTTTCTGGTGCTTTCTGGCCCGGAGTGTGAACAGGTCCTTCCTTCCGAGCTCATCTGGCAAAACTTGTCTTTATCCCCATCTCCACTCACCAGTCTTCTGCTTCCAGAAACACGCAAAGGCAATCTCTGACACATCTGGAACAGCCTTTTTCCATCTGCCAAGCTATTTCCCTTTCCTCCTTTATCACTCGGACCTGAAAAAGGACGCTGACGCTTTCCCTGATGAAGCAGATCTCATCTACCCAGAACTGTTAATCTGCTTGTGAGGAAAAGGCCAAACCACGCCCTCCAGTTGGATGGTTTACACGTGTGTACGTGTTTGGTTGGACAGATCTTCCTGTTTTGGGGGTTGCTAGCCCACCTGTGAGACTAAAAATGACACACACAAGCTTCATAATGTTAAGGCAATTCTTCCAGACAACCCTAGGAACCATTTTTAACATTCGAGAGCCACCCATCATCACTGATGCTGTGATTTATGAGACAGAAGGCAACATCCTCATTTCCTCTGTTACAGGATCTGGAGGAAATCCCGTTCATCCTATAATAATGGCACATGTTTTGGGACCGATCTCAATAGAAATTTCAACATATTCTGGTGCAGTAAGTACATGTTGAGTAGATGAATTGAGGAAGAACAACGACAAATGGAGCAGAGAAGCCAGGAAAGAGGTGAATTACTAGAAATATGACTTTTGAAAATAAACAGGTTTTGTGCAGCTTTCTAGACTTCCTCTCCAGTGTTGTCGTCTAAGGGGATGACCTTATCTCCACGGCAGGAACCAGCGACACTCGGGCGCAGGTCTCTGAGATTGGCTAAACGGGGTCACAGCACACCTAGACCCCTGTGAATGTGTTTGAAATCCTATTGCTTTGTTTTAAAATATATGAATTATCATAAAGAAAAGGAGCATCAGAGAATGATCCTTGCAGATTATTCTACAGCAGGAGGGCAGAGGTAAATGAGTGCTTTCTTCTCCTTGAGGCTTTTCCATGCTTCCGAATCCCAATGTGCCCGATGAATCAGAAGCACAGAAAGAGGTCAGCGTGGTTAGGGGGAGTCTGGCTAGGAACAGGATGGCAAGAGTTGAAATTCAGGCTTGGCGGCTGTGTGATCTTGGAAAAATTTCGTCTTCTCTCTGCTTCGGTTTTTCCTTATTTATAATGTGGCCCACAGTAATACCATCTTATCCGCAGGTTGTTGTGGGGATTAAACGAGATGCCACTTAGGAGGGGCTGAGCATGTGCCCAGCGTGTAAAGGGTGCTTCGTTGATGGTCCTCACTAGTATTGATGAGGAGGACTGACTGCTGATGTCCTTGCAAAATAGCTCTAATGAGACTCAAGCCGTTTGGACTGTGGGAGAGAGACTTCAACCAGCGAGACTAAAGAGTCTGACCTGGGAGCCCAAAGACTGGTCCCAATCATTTGTTTCAGGGCCCACCACAAGTTCAAGTGCAAGGTTACTGAAAATGCCATTCCGTGTTGCTTCTTCCTTCCCAGGCCATGTCAGCATGATGTTTGTTTCTAAATCTGAACGTTAGCCCTCCTGCCTGTCTGCGTTTCTCCTTGAATGACTATCCAGGCTGACTTATTTAACCAGGGCTAACTTAGACAAGCAAGAGCAAGCCCCGATTCCACCCTAGACGCCCTGAGCAAGGATGACTCACCCTCGGTGGGTTCTGAACTGGGCTGGGGATTCCCGCCTTGTTTGTGGTTTCCTGTATATTTTAGGTACTGGCACAACTAAAAACTGCCAAGATATAGCATTCTGTGGGGCAGGACCAGCGTCTGAACCAGAGACAAAAGCTGTTTCCAGCTTGTTAGACAGCAAGAAGGAGAGCATTGTTTGCTTCCTGACCTCACGCTCTTACGGGCAGCTCCTCCTCGTGCCTTACGGCTACACCACAAACAAGTCAAGTCACCACAAGGACCTGGTAAGACCAGAGCGTTGGGAGAAGCCTCGTGGCAGCCCTGCCTCCTTTCCCTGTTTCTGTTCCAAAGACTCTGGCTCCAGCCCCGCTTTTGTTCTCTCTGCTCTTCCTTCTTTCCTTTCTCCTGCTTTCTGCACCTTGCCAGACGCCTGCTGGAAAGGCTTTGGGTTAAATGCTGCTTTACCTACACTAACTGTTTCGCAAAGTGTCAAGTTGGGAGACATCTTAGCTATTCGGCTATAATATAAATGAGATGATTATGTTAAAAATCTGCAGGAATGCGCTTTCATTTCTGTAAATTCTCTTGAAGCTTCGTTCAGCAATTACAGCTTTCGAACCGTGCTTTAAAGAACTCGCCAGCTGTTAGTGGAAGATGGCAAATCTAAGATAACACGGCTAGTACTATCTGCTCCTTCTCTGCTGCACACAAGGCTTTATTTTCTTCCAAATTCTGCCTCTGGTATTTGCCTGGGAGCATTTGTAAGGGGCAGTGCTGTGCAACCCCAGCTGGGTCGGGAAGCGGCTTTGTCCCCTCGGGGTCCCTCTCCGAGGCCGTGTTCACCCAGCCCTGGTGGGGGAAGTGCTGACGAGGCCTGGACTCTTCTCCCTGCTGTGAACCTGAGGACAACAGACACAAGGGGTTGAGGGGGTACATTTAGAATTGTTGTGATATTCGTTATCTTTTTTAAAATTACTTCTTCAATTTTTAATTGTGGTAAAATACACATAACATACAATTTACCCTCTTAACCAGCAAGTGCACAATTCAGTAGTGTTAAGTATATTCATATAATTGTGCAACCCATCTCCAAAAATTGAAACTCTACACCCATCGAACAGCACCTCCCAGAACTCCTCGCCCCTGGAACCCAGAATCCCACTTTCTTTTTCTATAAGTTTGGCTCCTCCAGATTCCTCATGCAAGCGGGATCCAGTACGGCTCTTTTTATGACGAGCTTAGTTCAGTCAGCATAATGTCCTCAAGGTTCATCTACGTTATATCATGTGCCAGAACTTCCTTCCTTTTTAAGGCTGAATAATATTCCTCTGCATGTACATATCACATTTTCTTTACCTGTTCATCCACTGATGGACAGTTGGGTTGTTTCTGCCTTTCGGCTATTGTGAATAATGCTGCCGTGCACATAGGTACGTAAATATCTCTGAGATCTCGCTTTTGATTCTTTTGGGTATATATCTAGAAGTGGAATTGCTGGGTCATATGGTAGTTCTATTTTTAAGTTTTTGAGGAACTCTCACCCTGTTTTCCATGGCAGGTAGACCATTTTACATTCCTACCAACAGTGCACCAGGGTTCCACATTCTCACTAAAGCTTGTTATTTTCCCTTTAACTTTTTTATTTTTTAAAACAAGCTCCCCATTATCAACCAGTGCTGGGATGGGTGGGGCTAAGTTTGCTCTGTCTTAAGATCACAGAAGCCTGGAGGCCCATCAGTTCCATTACGCCTCCATTCCCTCTCCCTCGGGAGCAGGACCCATAAAACAGAGGCCTGGACAGAAAGAGAAAAGCCACCCCAGCTCTTTGCTGAAGGGAAGGCTTCCCCCAGCAGTCAGAACTACCCGGCAGGCCCCCAGTATCTTTCTTGCGCTTGTTCTTGAACATTTATACTATGTGATCATGTTGCAAGGTGTGGAAGTTACTAACATTCGCCCAGACCTTTGCAATCTACAAAGGGATTTGACAGACATTATGGCATCTGAGCCTCACGACAATATACTAAGCTCACTTTGGAGATGTGGACACTGAGTCCTGAGGTTGACTGCAGCCCGGGAGCCCCTCTCGACAGTGAGGGAGGACCCGCGCTGGAACGCCCGTCTTCAGACTCCAGAGGCTGCATCCGGCGACCGCCTCACACTGCCTCTCTCTGCTCAGGAAGGGTTTGCAGCTTCTAGGAGCCGGTACCAGGGTAGATGCCCAGTCCCCTGTGTCCTGTTCCCTCCTCATTTCTGGGCCCCAGAAGTTCTATTTCTTCAGTAAAGAAACCTGCAGAGATAGACATTTCCACGGGGAAGCCCAGAGCCCTCCTTATCTCCCAGTTTCTGTGATGCTTGCCATAGATGTCTGCCTCCCGCTTAAAGGGATCTGTGACAAATACAAACGAACCACCAAAAACAGGCCATTGTAGATCTTTGATGGGACAGGCCTTCCACTAGCAGAAAAAAGAGGCACGTAGGCCCAGTATTTTTCTAGGGAATTTTATTTGCTTTTTGGTTCAGGAAAACAGATACTACGTGACCATTTTGCAAGCTTTGTATTCAAAGGTTAGAGGGTCGTGTGCTAATTGGCTGTCAGATTAGAGCCCTCCGGCCACAGGCTGAGTGGGGCAGGAAGGCAGGAGGAGCCTGAGGCGCTGCATCGCCATCCCTGGAAGGTAATTCTGAGGTGGAAAGGACTAGACCATTGGTAGCCTGTGTGGAAACCAGTCAACTGAATTGAGAGACTTCTCCCTTCTGTATCTCTGACAGTCTCAGGTGCTGAAGAATTAGCATAAACATTCATCCCCAAGACTTTTCAACAACCAGACACTGTGTAGATTTTGCCCCATGTGTCAACCTTATTGACACTGGCTAGCAGTATAAATTTTAGGTTCTTAGGGGTAAGCTTGATAGAGTGCACAAGGACACAGGTTCAACCAACTGTACAAGGAGTTTCCATTTCTAGGAAGATTTGCAGCCACCAGAGACCAGCAATTAATCTCTATGTACTTACAAAACCAAATGCGTAGAAATCGTGATAGATCTTATACTGTGTGATCAAGAACTTGCAATCACGATACAGGGAGGCACAGTGTTAGACAGCCCTGTTCCAAATGGCTCTGGAAATCAGAACAGCTGTGAGAAGCTGATGCTGTAGATGCTGACATTCTTTCCATGTGAGCTCTTCCCACATCAACCCCTGTGGCCCATCCCTAGCTCTGTCCTCCCACACATGCCCGGGCCTTAATCAATCTGTCTGAGCACCTGCCTGTGACCATATACCTATAGGAAATTCTCTGGGTCCAGGTGAGGAGTTATGAAGCAGGCTTGGGGTCTTTAGCAATGTAAATTATGTACTACTAGCAAAGGGATTTTCATTAGTTTGACCAGAAAGTGCCTTTAGGCTGAGAAGAAGGGCAGCCGAGAAATTGGCTGTCATGGCCTTGTAGTCTAGTGTCAGGAGAGAGAAGAAAAATCAGGAATCCCACGCCTAGAGATGGAAGCCGGAGTCTAGGAGATTTTCACTTCACCTCCTCAGAAAGGACTGACCTATAAGCTACGGATTGCGACTGTAATTCTCAGATATCTTAATTTCTTGCTTCTATCTACTTCCCCATAGTCATTGCTGGTGGGGTCATAAAAAAAGGGGGTTTTTTTGTCAATAAAGAAGGGGAACTGGGAAGACTGTTTCCCACACCACAGCCGGGATTTGAGGGACGAGAAGGGTATGGGATAAAATAGGTGAAGGCTAGTGATGGGAAGAAGAAATGGGTGTCTGGGGTGACCTGCAGGAAAGACAAAAAATGCAAGACACCACTGGGATGGAAAAGGTAGTCTGGAGCTGCTCCATGAGACCCACATAGGAGTGGAGGCCCCACAAGGACCATCGGCATGGAGTTTCAGTTGAAGAAATGCAGAACCCATGGGAATTAAGGACAATTAACAGTGCTTCATAGCTCTGCTAGGGACTCTCAAAGAACTTGAGAAGGGAGTGCAGCTGGTGACTCACAACCACTCTCTCCCCAGGCCTCAGGCTCTCATCTCCACTCACGCAGCAGCCGCCCCAAATCCTTTCTCTCCACGCTCCGTTCTCATTTCTCACCAGAATTTCTCTCTCCAGAAATCCCCTTTCTGATTCTCCTCTCCTTATAATTCCCTCTTCTTCCTACAAACGGCGTAATGATTAAACCAGCTTTGCTCCGTGACTTCCTCAGCTCAAGTCCGGGCGACACAGCCCAGGAACCAAGGCAGACTCAGGACCTCTTTTCAGGGAGAGAGACAGAAGGTCAATGGCCAAAGACAGAATCCCCAGTGGTGAGTGGAGAGGAGGCAAAGAGCTTGAAAACATGTTCAATTTAATGTTTTTTCTTTTATCTTAGCCACACACAGGAAGTCCCAGCGCCCTGAGGAGCTGCCCACAAGCTGCGTACAACCCACCACCACTCATTGCCTTTTCTCCTCTCCTCTTTGAGTTTCACTGGGCCTGCCCCCCACTCTCCCCGAGCACCACCCTGTCGCTCCTCAGGGTTCAGTTGGGCAGCACAGGACCAGGAAGAGAGAGGCAGTGTCTGAAACGAGACCCGTCCCGAGTCAGCAGTCAGGGGAGCTGAGACACCTGCAAGTGCAGTCAGGCTGCCCTGAGGGTGAAAAGCGGTGGAGGGCCACAGCCCAGGCAGGGAGTGGGCGTGCGTTCTGGGGGGGTTTGTGTAGAACCCAGGGGAAGTAGCGGGATATCCCAGCAGGCAGGGAGAATAGAGCATCAGGGAGTCTGGGGCGGGAATATTTAGACTGTCGAGAAGGTGTGCGAGGAGATTTATCAGAATGTGAATAAACACAGCAGAACACTTGGATCTCAGTGACTCTGATGTCAGGAAAGGGTCTGCCAAGAGCAAGGCCAAGACCTTGGACAGCATTGCCTTCTGCAGGATTTGCAACGTAGTAAGGTGACGAGGTGGTCTGTGTGGGGAAGGGTGTAGTTTCCAGCTCTGAAGTTCCACGAGCCCATGAGAGATAAGTGTGAAATACCTATAAGGAAAAATAAGACGGGAGTGGTGAGAAAGATGTGAACAAAGGACTCTGGGGGAAAAAGCGGGAGAGAGAATCAGCTGCGGTGATCAGGAATGGCCTTGTGGAGATGCTGACATTTGAGAAAGTCCTTTGAGGTTGGGCAGAATGTCAACAGACAGAGACAAGAGGTGAGGCATCTCAGGTAGAGGGAACAGCTGAGAAAAGACAGAGAGTCTGAGGAAAGGGGCACGTCCAGGGAGGAGCGAGGGAGCTTGAATTTCATCATCTGGCCTGGGATGTAGAGAATATGACGTTGGAAAGACGGGTTAGGGCCATATCATAGAGGATCTCAAATACGAGACTGGGAGGTTTGTATGGAACTCAGTGGGCAACTGAGCATTATTGAAGGCTTTCAGCAGGATCACAATCATACTTCCACCCTACATAAGTTCACCTGGAAGCCAGGTGGGATCAACTGGGATAAGGAATGCTGCTGACAGGAAGGGAAACAGAAGATGACAATAGTCCATTTCAGTGGCAATGAGACTCAGATGGGGTGAAGGCACTGGAAATGCAACTTGGTAACTATTTGAAAGAAGGAGAGTCAAAGATGGCTGCAGGGTTTTACATGTGTTTGTGGAACAAGGTCAGCCAGAAAGATGAGAACCTGGATAGCCTTATTAGTTGGGGAGACGCGGAAACTGGGCTTGAGTATGCGGAGCCTGAAGTACCAGCAGGCTACCTAGGCACAGATGTCCCATGGGAAGTTAGGGACATAGTCTGGAACTCTGGCGATGGATTTGGACAAAATACCAAGCCCTCTGGATTGTTGGATTTATTTTTCACACCAGATATCTGTCTCTGCATTTCCCACCTACAGATCCAAGTTGGACAGAAGGCAGCAAACACATTGAAAGCAAAGCATGGAACCAATTATAGAGTTGGATCGAGCGCAGATATTTTATGCGAGTATCTTTTTTTCACCTCTTCCATAGTATCCAAGGCACAAAAACATCAGCGGACTTTGGGGTGAGCAGAGGAGAGAGAGAAGAGTTCCTGAGATCAACAGGAAGTTTTACAAATCAAAATCACCAAGGATAAAAGGGAGTCTACGAGTCCAGAATTGTGCTCTCCAGGGAGGAGGTGTGAGCGAGAAGAAAAAACTAACACACGAGCTCAGACCAGAACTCCCTCTGGCTTCAGTTAAAAAGAGCTGAGAAGGAGCGCGGGAGTTAACAGGAAGGATGTTTTCCGGTGATCCTTGGTCAGTTGATCCAGTTCCCAGAGGACCCATCAGGCTAAGAAAGCAGAGCAGGTGGGGCCTGGAGAAAGACTCTAAAAACAAGGAATTTAGTTGAAAGGAGAGTGCACTCTGCCTTCCCCCAACCACCACCGCCTCCCCCCGCCCCCCGGAGGACCGCCTGGAAAATATTTGCGCAGTATCTTCCTGTTGGTCACTTTGTTTCCTTTACATGTCAGTTCAGTCTTTCCGTGAAACGTTAGGTTGTTCAGTCTTTGATTTAGCTGAGAAAAGTTAACCAGATCTCTGCTATGCACCGGGGAGAATCTTCAGCCCTGTGGGGATGGTGGAGCGAGAGGGAGGCTGAGCAAAATATAACCCCTGTCCTATAGGGGCTTAAGATAGACGGGGAAGGAGAAGACAGCCAGCCAGGGGACCCTAACTTGAAAGAGTTGATTTATTTTGCTGGATAATGGCCATAGAAATCTGTGCTCTCACAGTACAGTTTCTAAATCTGCCTTCATGGTTTCATTCATAGACACCACACCAGGGTCTTCCAGAGACTGGGCTCGTGACATTGGGATCCCCTTCGCATACACTTTCAAGCTGAGGGACAATGGTACGTAAGGATTTATTTTGCCAGAAGCTGAGATTCAGGCCACCTGTACAGAGGGCATGGAGGCTGTCCTCTCCATCCTGGATGAGGTGCGTGAGAAATACTGGCACTGAACGGTGCTGGAAAGGTGGTGTCTCCCGCAGCGGTGCTGAGCCTGCTAATGTCCTTCACATCCATTCTCTAAGCGCATCCTCCCAGGCCGGCTCAGCTCCAGTGATGAGGATGTGCTCACAGAGAAGGTGTTTGTCTGCGGTCGGAGAGGAACCAAACAATTCAACTAAAAATACGCACTTTCTGTTTCAATAAAGATGAATCATATTTGCATTTTAATGTTTGTTCTGCTGGTAATTAATTTGTATTACTTTAAAAGAGTATAATAGTAGTTAGTTATTGCCACAATAATGCTACAAGCCAAACCACTCTGAAATTCAGCGGCTCAGGAAGCTACAGGTCAGCTGATCTTGGCTGTGCCCACTGACGCATCTGTGGGCAGTTTCAGGGCAGCTGCCCCAGAATCAAGAGATTTTTTTTTCCCTGTCTAAATTCTGAAAATTTGCTTGTGCTTCTGAACATGGTTTGCGCTTAATTTTGTGTTTTAAGTTAGTGGCAGCTTTCAAGAGATCAGTTACATAATCTCTCTCTATAGCTGTTGCTGGTTTCATTTATTTTTTTATTTCATATTTTGTTTATTTATTCAAAAATATTTTTAAAGAATCTACTAGGTACATTTTGCCAGGCTCTGGAGTTACGATGGGGAATAAGGTAGACTTGGTCCTTGTCCTCTTGGAATGTCTCTTCCAGTGGGTGAGAGTGGGGGTGGTAGCCATAAATAATTGGAATGGGCACGCTGTTGCATACCAGGCAAATCTCAGCCTGAGCAGGCCACAGTAATCAAGAACACAAATAAATAAACTAAATGTTGCACTTGTGACAGATGCTATGCGAGAAAGAGTGAGCAGAGAGGTAAGCAAGGGCGGATTGCGTGTTTACGGGATCCAGGCATTTAGCTGTGCGTCTTGTCTGTTAAACTGTAGGTGCTCTTAAGGCAGCGTCTGTGACTGCCGTTTCTGGTGGATCTCTATGCGACACCCTGAAACAGTGCTCAGCACTTGTCAGGCTTCAAACAAATGCTGTAGCTGTGACCAGGTGACAGGGCACCCTTGGGTGTTCAGTCACCCATTCCCGACTTCCCTTTTGGTCACAGTCACCATACACTTCTGGGTTGTAACACTTTCGTTGTCTTTCTTTGTCCTCCTTATTTCTTCCTGTTTTGCCAGTGTGTGGCTGATAAGGGTCAGAAAGGAAAACGTCAGGGGCGATGGGGCTTAATGAGTCAGAGAACAGCTATTTACATGGAAACTCGGACTCCACAATTGTGGCATTGTCTGGAAAAAATGGTTGGGTTTCATCCACAGCCAGCCTCGGGTGGGGGAAGACTGGCGTGGCCACCGATGCCGTGATCAAGAAGAAAGCAGGGGAGCTGCGCCTCAAGGCTCAGTTTGAGCTTTAATCTAGCCTGTAGTTTAGTTTCTGACGCTGTCGTTTAACCATTTGGACCTCTGAGAATGAGAGGAGCTCTGGTCTACAAAGCTGAACTCGTGTCTAAAGATTGAGCCCACGGCCGAGGAAAGTTGGAGGGAACAGATAGAAACGCAAGCTCTCAGCTGGCCTGAACCCTCCCACACGGATTCTTCTAAGAGCCTAGGACACAAGCTTGGCTTTCCTGGGGGGCTTCACATGGCTCTGAGGGTGTGGGGGTCGGAGAGCTACGACACGCTTTTCATTTCTCCTGAAAGTGTTTTACTTCCTGTGAAAGGATCCTGAGAGCAAGGACAGGAACGTGGGGACCACCCTGATCTTTCTCTAGGACGCTTTCGACTTCCTGGTCTTAAATGGTAATAGGGAAAACTTCACAACTGGTACAACTAATGCAATCTTGAGAGTGCCCTGTACTGTGGCTTCGCTGGGTCTGGGATCGGATTTGACCCTACCTTAAAGCCAAGGAGTTAGCTCGTTGCTGCTCCGTGGATGTCAGAAGACACGAGACGCCTGAGTCAGAGACGGGACGTTGTTACTCACTGCACAGTAAGCCGCATGAGCATCCGCATGTTTACATCGGTTCCCCTTGCTCCCAAGTTCCAAGGGGTGATGCAGAGCCCAGGGACCCCTGCAAATGTGGTGAGTTGTGTGACAAGAGAGAAACCCCCCTGTGAGGGTTCACTGCTTTCACAGCAGCACGGAGCAAGCCTCATCTTCATCCTGGAAGGAGACCTTGCCTCAGTGCTCAAGTTGCTTGTTTGCTGCAGACACCACTCTGAGAAGTGGCCAGGTCAAGAGTGGTCAGGGCCCCACCTCCTTGGCATGGCCAGCAAGTCAGGTAGGAGAAGAGAAGCCACCAGAGGGCTCTCCCCCGACAGGCTCTATGAATTAGGTTGAATCATATGAAACTGCTGTTCTCACGGGTCGGAGAAGTCCTAGTATTAGCCATTTTGCACAGTTCAACTTAATACTGTCCCAGTGCTAATGAGAGTGTCTCCACGATGCCTTTCCTTTTATTTTCAGGAAATTTGAACACACTGCTTTTCCTGCTCCTATTTCTTTCCTTCCACCAAACTTCACTGATGCCTTTGTTCCATAACTATTCCTACAAAGGAGCCAGATCTTCTTGAGCATAGGTGAATTTAGAGTTTAAAATGGTGATAAATGATAAATTAAGGTGGTATCCAAGCTTCTAGCTCTATTTTTTTGACATCAGTGTCAAAATGAGTTATATTTTTGTTTCCACTATGGATGACCAAGCTCCTGTCCTCCTTCCTTTCTGACGCCGTTCAGCAATCTCCTGATACGTTACTGAAAATATATTATTCATATCTCCCAGTATTATTCTTATCTTCTGCGTATAATTTGAATCTGTCACAAATTTATTCTGGCACTGAGAGAAGCCCACTGGCCAAGTATATAAATTGCAATACTAAATACAAAGGAATTTAAAAAATTAAAATCAATAATTATTAATTTCTGTTACTATATGCAGTGGTTGAAACACTTTATGCGTATTACTTGGGTAATACTCGTAAGAATCCCAAGTTAGCTACTTTCATTCATTCAATGGAGGAGCTGAGACAGAGAGAAGGTAGGTAGCCAGCCTATGGTCATGCTGTTCTTAATAGTGACCAAGCGATCAAATATTTATAGGGATAGGAATTTTCTGGTTCCAGGATGTTGGACATACTGTCCAGTGGCCACAGCCAGTGCCTCAGCAGACCCCTTCAGGCCCCTTCTCCCATCCTTGATGTGTCTTCGCCACCAACAGCTCACACATGTGACTCTTTTTTCCGACGACCACGGTTGGGCTCTGCCTGCACTTTGCCTGAGTGTGTGGGAGTTACACTGGCCGCCAGACACCCCCGCCCCTGCCCGGATGCTGGCGAACGGGTCCAGGAGAAGGAAAGGCCAGTCTCCGTGCAGTGGTTGGGAAGACTCCAAAGCGTGATTCCTGTTCCAGGGGTCCTGGGGGTCGGGAGGAAGTTACCCGCCCAAGAACCTTCTCAGAGGCTGTGCCCATGCTGGGCCTCCTCCCTTCCCTGCCCTGCTGTCCTCAGCCCTCACCACCTTCTCCGGGGAGCACCTCCTGAAGAAACCACCTGTACGTGAATCCTCACCGCTGAGTCTGCCTCTGGGGAATCCCACACAAGACAACGCCCTGGGAAATTATTACTAAAACGTAGCACATTCTTAATTTCCTAAAATGAACTTTAATAAAAGTATTCCCATTATTTAATATTCAGAATATGCCTGGGCATCATGAATGTCGTCTGGACAGAAAAATTCTTATTTTGAAGATGTTATTCTAGAACACAGGAATCTTGTTCCAAATAAGATTTTTACTTCAGGAAAATGTATGCATTTCCAGTTTGGTCTCTATTGAAGACACAGTAAAAAAAAGACTAGTGTTTACGGACTTGTAAATTTTGAAGTATTCGGTATTATGGTAAGACTTTATGGGAAAATAATAGCCCCTTATAACAGTTTCCCAGTCTGCTGTAATCCAGACTGCATGGTCTGTCCTTAGCTACCCAAATAAAGAAATCTTATTTATTTTTAAGGAGTCATTCATTTAAATAGTAATAATAATCATAAAGCTTCAGAGAGCTTGAGGGTGAGTATATTAACTCCTCTCCTACCGGTGTGCTCCCTTCCCACTGAGCCCTTATGTTTTTCTGAGGATTTGTTCGTTTTTCAAAATGCACTTAACACAAGTGAGCTCCAACACATTGGTGCAAATCAAAGGTGAACCGTGTCTTTTATCTTTACATAGATGGTGCAAAAGTAACCGCAGAAACACACAGGAGGCAGAATAATGTGTATTCACGGGTTTGAACAACAACAACGAACACCCCAGTTGACAGGCCGGAGGATCCCGCGGGGAGGGCAAGTCCAGCTGGGATCCGGTGGTCGAGGGTCCTGAGCGCCAGACAGGACTTTATACTTTATGCCCATAGGCTGCCCAGAGGACCAAGGTTTTCGCACAAGGAGCGTAAATAAACACATGCTGTGTGAAGATTCATCTGGAAGGATGAATTAGAGTGAGACAGTTGGAGAGGAGAAGTTGGAGGCAAACAGTTCAGAAAATATGACACTGTGCATATACAAACTGACCAAGATGAGTTGGTGGCAATAAAAATGGAAACAAAGGGGCAGAAATCAGAGGTGTTCAAAAAGATTCACTGTGGGGTCTGCTTGCATGTGGAGACGTGGAAAAAGGAGGGTTGAAATTAGTGTGTGTGGCTGGTTAGAAAAATGATGGCACCATAAGACCACAAGAACTTGTCTTAGGGCAGCTTGCTTTCCTCCCTTCCTGGAGAGGTACGGCAGACCAGCGCTGAAAACCGACTTACAGATGCCGGGAGCCAGAGGGAAGCAGGGAAACTGAGGCACCCGTGAGCTTCAGACAGGAAGCAGGAGATGTAGCGTCCTGCTGAACTGTCAGCAGAAACTCGGGGTCCGTTTTCCGACTTTAAATCAGGTCTGTGGTCACAAGCAAGCTTCATTTCAATCTCAGGTTTCAAAATTTCATTCAACACGGACATTTGGTAAAAGCTTTAAAAAAGTTAAAAAAATGTAATACCCACCAGCCTCCTGTACGTAGGCTAATTTACCCTATGACATTTGTTTTATAATTGGGTTTGCAAGTCTGTCCCTTTAAAGATGACTATTTTCTGTAACACAGCTGCTTAAAAGATTAGTTTGCAGCAGAATTCTTTAGATAAAATTTTTCCTTGAAGCATGGCATATAAATCAGATAAAAACAGAGTTGCTCTGCCTGCCCA